AAGAAACTGAACAAATTGACGAGGATATTGGCGTAGAAGACATAGACGACTGTGATGCAACTCCTGTGGACGACGAAGATGATTTTGAGATTGGCGACGAGGAAGACGAAGAAGAAGAGGAAAGTGAAGAGGAGGAGCATAATTACGAAGGAAAGACGACGACCACTCCCCAACGAACAAGGGGAAATAGAAATATTTCACGAAGAGCACCTCAAAAACAAAAACGGCCTATAAGACAACAGAAAGTGCCGCCTCAACATCAAACTAGTAATAATTTAAGAAAAAAGTGTATGTTACGATAATTTTTTCCAGAGTTGTACTGACTTATAGCCATTAAACTAAAAAAATCCAATATCTTAATTTCCTTTCATAGCAAGGTATTTTCACTGAATATTAAAAACATATGTTTGTTTTCTCAATAAATATTCATATTATTTTTATCAAAGCATGACAGAATCTTCACAGTCCTATGATGCTCGTATTCTTACCAAACGACAAAGGGCTAAATTAGACGAAAATTATGATTTAGACTTGCTTCAACTTCCAATGGGTTAATACACTGTCTTTATGCTATATTCTATCTTCTTTGAATGCTACAAACGAAATTTACTAACCTTGATTTATATTTATTAGAACCAATGAAAAAAAAACAACTGACCGAGGAAGAAATGCTCCTGAAAAAATCTGAAATTGCACGAAGAAGAAAGCACCAAAGCATTCAACGTGCTGAGCAAGACAAGGTATTTTATATTGTTATTGTATGTTATCATTATACAATGAACAATTTCTCATAACATCTTTTATGACAGATGGACACAATTAATCGTCTTTTAAAAAAACAAGCAACTAAAAAAAGATCAAAGGATCAGGACGAAACCGATAGTATTAATAAAGATGATAGTAGTACAAATTCACTTATACCAATTACATTTCATTATGTTGCTAACAAAGATGGTTGTACGCTATCAGTTCCACTTGACATTGAAATGCCTTCTCTAATGTTGGTATATGTATAGAATCAAAAGCCTTTGACATGTCTTGCGAAAGTAGCCAGTATTCTTG